ACACACACACACACACACACACACACACCTGCTGACGCAATTGATGCAGCGCACACACACACACACACATGCTGACGCAATTGATGCAGCTGCATTGCAGCACACACACACACACACACACACACACACACACACAGAGGCACAGACACAGACACACGCACACAGACACACGCACACAGACAGACACACACACCTGCTGACGCAATTGATGCAGCACACACACACACACACACACACACACACACACACCTGCTGACGCAATTGATGCAGCACACACACACACACACACACACACACACACACACACACACATCTGTTGAAGCAAATGATGCAGCACCTACAACAGTTGCTTCAGTAGTAGCTGATGCATCTGATGTAGGTGGTGCATTTGTTGCACACAGTGACAACTGTTGTGTGGCTGCTGTAGTGGCAACTGCACACAGTGCCAACTGTTGTTGACGCAGCTGATGCAGCCACACAGGCGTCTCTCTCTCTCTCTCTCTCTCTCTCTCTCTCTCTCTCTCTCCCTCTCTCTCTCTCTCTCTCTCTCAATGTGTCTCTCTCTCCTCCTCTTCGGGCGCCATCCTTCGCCTCTTCTTTTTGTGTAGAGGAACACTCTCATGAGAGTCCTCATCTGACCTCTCCTCTGCAGGATCGGAAGATGGCTGGCTGTCTCGTGGCCTCACTAACTTAGGCCGCCCTCTGCCGCGTTTGACAGGTAGCCCTCCTCGTGCAGAAAGTGGTCGGCCCCGGCCGCGGCCAGAAGGTGGACGCCCTCTGCCTCGTCCGCCTCGATACGCGAGCGGCGAGCGGATCCCATACGGTTCCGGGATGTGCTCCGTGGCGACCTAGCAGCTGCGAAGGTCGACTGGAGCCATAGAATGCATCCATCTACTGATGCCGCTCCTCGCCCTCAGGCTCGGTCTGTTGCTGCTCGCCCTTGGGCTCAGCTTGTCGTTGCTCGCCCTCTGCCTCGCCGTCTGCCTGACATTGCTCGCCCTCTAGCTCACCCTCTCCACGGTGCTCCTCCTGCTGTTGGTGCTCCTGTTGCTGCTGATGTTCCTCATGCGGGTGCTCCGTATGTCGGTCCTCCTCCTGCTGCTGGTGCTCCTCCTGCTGCTGGTATTCCTCCTGCGGGTGCTCCTCCTCCTGTCGGTCCTCCTCCTGCTAATCCTCGTCATGATGCTCCTGCTGCTCTCTCTGCACGCGCTGGTCTTTCAATCTATGACTGAAGCATGTGCCCTCCACATATGGAAGAATCTCCTCCCTCCTCGTCCATGATCTATCAGAATCTGACCTCTCGTCCACCCACTTCTCGCCTAGAATGTCGTCCTCGTCACTCAGGTCGTCATCCATATCATCCTCAGCCTTGTCCATCTCGATTGTCTCCTCCACGCCCTCCAACCTCTGCACGGATGCCGACCTCGTAGGAGGATCATGAGCGATGTTGGTGCTGCCTGCAACAGAACCAGTGCCCTGCACACCAACCTCACTGTCATTAACAGCATCTGTGACATTCGCCATGTCACCTTCCAAGTCCTCATCTGCCCAGTCCTTCTCCAACCCCAACCACCCTCTTACGATCGTGGGCCCATCATCCCCCCTGTTCTTGAGCCCGAGGCTCCAATGCGATTACACCAGTTTCTCGGTGCGTTGGTGGTGCAACTTGTTACTGGACTTGGTCTGCACGAGAGCCCAAGTGCTCCAATTCCTCTCAGCTAGCGAGGATGTTGTCCAGATGGAAAGCACCTTTCCTGCCAACTCCTTGATGTCTGGATGGCCAGCTCCGTGCGCCTCCCACCACAACACAGGATTGTCCTTTGCAGTCGTCAAACCTCTTCGAACCCTTCTTGCCGATCAACCGCTCGACAATGCTGTCAAACTGCGCCACGAGGTCGACATTGTTGAAAACAGCAACATCCCTCAACTGAGGATCCAACAGTCGTGCGACAACGTGTATGGGGCTGAGAAGCATGTCTGTCCTCTTGCCCACGTCCGCAAGGACAACATCTCGCTCTTCTACAATGAGGGGGGCATAACGAACAATGCTCTGCAACCGACAAGCCATGTCGTAGATGCGTGATAAGCAGTGAACATCCTTGTCCACCTCTTTTAGCACATCATACAGACCCTTCATCAACGCGGTCAACTTCTTGACATCAGCCCAGAAGGCTTTGTCAAGAATGGACTACTCGACTGTATAGGCTTTCAGCCTGATGCCCCCCTGCCAAATTATGTTCTCCCAGGGGCGCCCGGTCACGATACACACAAACACCTTCTCGCACACCTGCAGTCTGTGCAGCATCACGTAATGGGTCCCAAACGTTGTCGATGCTGGCTGAAGGAGACAGGTGGCCTTCAACTCTGGGTACTTCAGCAATTGCGTCCTCAGGCGGGAACGTGGCCACCTGTGAACCCTGAAAAAGTTGACCACCTAGTTCGCCCTGTTGATGACCTCAGCCGCCCATTCCTTGTTGCATATGTCGTGCATGAGCAGATCCATGCAATGGGCTGTGCAAGGGATCCAGTAAATCTGGCTGAACTCTGGATCCTCCCTTAACATCCTAGCTGCACTCTTGTTCCCCGCGAAGGAGTCTATGCAGATCGCTGTAATCTTCTCCAACCCCAACTCCCTAAAGAACCGTTTCCACCCCACAACGACAACAACTGCATCCTTGTCCCCCTCACTCACATCCTCGCACTTCACGAAAATTGGCTTTGAACGTCTTGCGAGGATGTAGTTCATTAATGATCGGCCACATATGTCCGTGGTCCCGTCAGTAATGAACGTGCAACATGTGACTTGCCAGTCATCCCTGATTGCCTGCTCCTCCTTCTCCAACCTGCCGCATAACCGCTCAAGTAGGCGACACCTCAATGGGTTGTACCCAGTGGGAAGAAGAGGGCACCTCGCTGCAGGCTGTGGACCGTAACACGCCAACTTGAACTTCTTGAAACTCTTGCTCTTCGCGACGTTGAACGGAATGGTGTTCTCGACGAAGAACTCGCAGCAAGAGTCATCGATGTCCTCCTGCCGCGGGTTCTTCATGTACCTCGCGATTGACGTTTGTTTTGCTGGTCCACGTGTCTGCACCTCTTGCTAACTAGCATTTCGTTAAAATTGACATTTTTTACTATTTTCACGAAATTGGGCATCCAAGAAAAAACTGAGTTTTTTAGTGTGTTTTTGTGCCCACGACATCAGACCATTGATGGTCCGGCGTCCTGGGGACTCCGGACCATCTGATGTATCTCATCGTAAAGTACCGTCAAAATACATCCGAGGGTCAAAAAAAAAAGAAAAAAAATTGAGGCATATCAGATGGTCCGGCGTCCTGGGGACGTCGGACCATCAATGGTCTAATGTGGTCGGCGCAGAAAAATGTCAAAAAATACTGTGCTTTTTTGGAAGTTCAATTTCGTGAAAATAGTAAAAAATGTCAATTTTAACGAAATGTCTGTTTGTTGCACTCGCCGCCTCCCGCCTGCTCCCCCAATGGCGACCGGCCCAACTGCAACACACCCGCTCGCCAACTCTCCTGGTCCGCTGCCAGGCCGCCCACGAGCTGGCTCCTCGGAGTCAACACCAATCTCGGCACCTCCTCCATCACCCTCTGCAACACCTCCCATCGCGGCATCCTCATCTACATCACTGTTCTTCTCCTCCAATGCACGTTGCACCCTATCCAGCAAGTCCGGAGGCATATCACAACCTGCCTTGTGCAGTCTCTTCCAAATGGATATGGTGCCATGAGGACACCGGGACCTCTTCAAGAGGAAGTGCTCGTAAGCCCATTTTCGTGTGCCAGTCTACTCGCGCTGGCATAACCTGCAGCGCAACCTTCTTTGACCTTTGGAATTCCCCTCCAACTGTTGACCAGGCTCCACCCACGTCCACACACAGTGGTCACGCCGGAATTTGGTATCCACCCTGAACGGCTCCCTTGCAACCCCTCCCCCCGCCGCGCTGGTACTCACAATGATGATGATGCGGCTGCTGTTGATGTGGCTACTGCTGACGTGGAAGCTGCTGCTGTGGTGCTGCTGCTGATGCGGGTGCTACTGCTGATGTGGAAGCTGCTGCGGCTGCTGCTGATGCGGTTGCTGCTGATGTCGCAACTGTTGTGGTGGAGCTGCTGTGGTGCTGTGGTGTTGTGGCAACTGTTGTGTGGCTGCTGCTGTGGTGCTGTGGCAACTGCTGTGTGGCTGCTGCAGTGGTGCTGCTGACGTGGCAACTGCTGTGCAGCTGCTGCTGATGTGGAGGCAGCTGATGTCTCACCTCCTGATGTGGCAGCTGATGTGTGGCAGGTGCTGTGCGGCAGCTGCTGCGTGGCAGCTGCTTGTGCGGCAGGTGCTGTGTAGCAGCTGCTGCGTGGCAGCTGCTGTCCGGCAGCTGCTATGCGGGAGGAGGATAGTAGCAGCCTAGCAGGAGAAGAAAACAAAAAATAAGATGGAAAAAAAAGGTGCGCGCTGACGTGGCAGCCGCGGCCGATGGGACGTGGGGGATGAAGTAAGAGGAAGACGAGGAGGAGGAGAAACAGGAGGAAGAAAAGGAAGACTCGAAGAGAAAGAGGAGGAAGAAGAGGAGGAGGAGGAGGAGGAGGAGGAGGAAGAGAAGGAGGAAGAGGAGGAGGAGGAGGAGGAGGAGAGTAGTACCAGGAGACGAATCTGACGTGGCACCCGCGGCCAATGGGACGTGTGGGGATGAAGAGTAGGGGATGAAGAAGAGGAGGAGGTGGAGAAGGAAGAAGACGGAGAGGAGGAGCAAGAGGAGGAGGAGGAAGGAGAAGAGGAGGAGGAATAACAGGAGGAAGAAGAGAAAAATTGGGAGGAGAAACAGGAAGAAGAGGAGGAGGAGGAGGAGGAGGAGGAGAGTAGTATCAGGAGAAGAAAAAAATAAAAAAAACGAAAACAAAACGTGCACGCTGACGTGGCAGCCGCTGTCGTTGCGGGGTGGGGGATGAAGAGTAGGTGAACGAAGAAGAGGAGGAGATGGAGGTGGAAGAAGACGGAGAGGAGGAGCAAAAGGAGGAGGGGGAGGAAGAAGACGATGAGGAGGAGGAGAAACAGGAGGAAGAGGAGAACGAGGAGGAGGAAGACGACAAGGAAGAGGAGGAGAGAAGGACGATGAGGGGTCCGAGCACAAGAAAACGAAAAAAAATAAAAAATTGTCGCGTTTGGAGGGCAGTCACAGCCGATGACAACGTGTGGGAGGAGGAGGAAGAGGAAGACGAGGAGGAGGAGAAAGAGAAAGGGGAGGAAAAACAGATGTGCGCTGACGTGGCAGCCGCGATCGATAACGAAG